TGCTTGGTGAATTGGGAATTCTACAAAAGCATGTGAAGGTACATTGTGATAGTCAAAGTGCAATCATGTTGGCAAAGAATCAAACTTACCATGCAAGGACGAAGCATATTGATGTTCGTTACCACTTCATAAGAGAGATTATCGAAGAAGGTGGAGTGGCTATCCAGAAGATAAGGACCACAGAGAATCCAGCTGATATGTTGACAAAGGTAGTAGATTCAATCAAGTTCCAACACTGTTTGGACTTGATTAATATTATCAAAATTTGAAGACTGCATTGGTAGACACTATCAAAGATGAGAGATTTGAAAATATGAAATTTGCCAAGGTGGAGATTTGTTGAATATGGTGTGGCAAATTTAGTCCCACATCGAATAAGTTTTTTTTGATGTGGCCAAATTAGTCCCACATTGGATAGGTTTGGGAATGTGTAGTGCCTTAGGTTCTATATATAGAAACCCTTCCCTTCACTTTGAAATCATCCCAACTACAAGTTCATTTGTAACTTCTAAGGCTTGTAGTTTTCTCTTCTCTCTCTATTGTAATATTTCTTAGTGAAATATATTTGGTAGTGTCCGAGGAAGTAGGCATAATTGGCTGAACCTCGTTAAATTCTTGGTGTTCTTTCTTTCTTGTTTTGCTTTTGGTTTAAAATTTGCTAGACGTTTCCGCAACAGCCCCCACACACATCCTCCTCTTCCACTACTCTAACCACATAGTATACATTTTTAAGCTCCTATTTTGACATTGTCATTCATCAAGAAAAAAAAAATCAATCTTGTACATCACCTTCTAATCAACCTTCACATTGATTATTAATAATTTATTTTAAAAATATTAAATTTTAATTTATAAATAAAAATTGAATTAAATATGCTAAACAGATCACTTCTTTTCTTTACAAGAATATATAGTATTCATTAAATACAGTGCGTTTTTGTACTTGAAATTTTTGCATAATTCGGTGAGAAACTGAGAATGTGCCCGTTGGAGAAACATTGGAACGAAGAGTCTAAAGCGCGTAGTATGACAGGAACTAACGGTTGTGGTAGTGCTCTCAAATTTGTTATTCTTTATTTATTTTTTACACTTGCTAAAAAAAATAACTATCTACTAAAATAATTTAATAATACATTTTTATAACAATAAATAATTTTAATAATGTTATTTTATTAAAAAGTCAAATTGATTTGACTTTGTCAATATTGTTTTGTTAATTATGTTTTTAAATAATGATTAAGTAATTAGCTTAATTGTAAATTTTATTCCTCGAATTTTATAGTTATTCTAATTTTACTAACCAGATTTTAAAGTTGTATATTTTTTCATTCAATTTTTAAAATTTTATATATTTTATCATTTTTTTAATTGATCATTTAATGTCGTTGATTGATTACTCACATAATTCTTAATTTGTTACAAGACATATATCAATGACATAATATTATTTTTTAATTAATTTTTATATATTAAACACGAATATATTTTATGTGATATTGTTTTTAGGAGTTTTTATTCGACGGAAATTTGTAAAAAAAATTTAACTTTTAATTTAATTTTATTTATTATAATTATTTATAAATTAAATATTAATATTTTAAAATAAATTATCAATAAATAAAATAAAAATTTTACTACAATATAAAATATTTATCATTAATCTAAAATATAATTTATACGTTTAAAAATATTTATTTATACTAAGTATAAATATAGTTTATGTAACAATCTAACATATCACTCTACATTTATTACTAAAAATCGACATTAAGTGAAAGCTAAAACATGCATAAAATAATATGTATGGAATATACATATAAAAATCCAGCATGTATATTATATACATCATAGCCTAAACTACTATAAAATATCATCAAATAGTCGATCGAAAACTCCAAAGCATGACTCTACGAGAAGAGTCATATAAAACAAGCACCTTAAGTGTGACTTGTCACCATCACTTCAACTACCCGCCTAATCCTACCCTATCAAGTATAGTCACTGTAATCCCAATCATAAGAAAAATAAGGTTAAGCTTATGAAAGAAACAACATATAACAATATAACAAAGGCAACAAAAGTATATGTCAACAAAAATAACACATTTACAGGTTGCCCACATTTATCAACTTTAGTATACTCATCTCCGCAAATATATATATATATATATATATATATATATATATATATA